CCACCCACCCAGGCCGGACGTATCACCAGCTCGGGACACACCACCATCTCCGCCTCCTCCAGCGCCTCACTGACCGTGGGGGCTCTGCTGGACGTAACCAAGCCCGGCAAAGTCGTGCCGTCACCCGACACCGTCACGCCCGTCTCCGTCACACCGCTCACGTCACTGCTCAAGGCGGGCACCGACGATACGGCTGCTGGGAAGGACGCCGCTGCTGATGGCACTGTTGCTGCTGATGGTAGCACTGTTGCTGCTGATGGTGGTACTGTTGCTTCTGTTGGCACTGTTGCTGCTGTTGGTGGTACTGTTGCTGCTGAGGGTGCTGAAAGGTCAGCAGGCGACACACAAGGTCAGGTTCGGATCGAGTCTGCGCCTCTAGAGGTCTCTGAGCAAGTTATGGCCGAGGTGGCGCTGGCGATAGCGCCGGAGCATGGACATGTGGCTGTACTCAAGTCTCCTGAGAATGATGGCGATGGTGTTGTGGTTGTTGATGGTGGTGGTGGTGGTGAGGTGGTTGTTGCCACGGCAACGTCTTCTGTTGTTGCTGCAGCTGGTGATGGTGAGGGGGTTGGTGGAGGTCGTGGTGAGATTGTGGCTAGCGGGCAGCCTATGCCGGGGGCAGGGGGCGGGACTGGTTTTGGTGGGGGTAGAGGAGAGGGGTTGGGGAGCAATCCCGTGATTCTGATTATGTCTGGAGGAGGAGGGGAGGGAGGAGGAGAGGGGTCTACGGTCCAGGCTCTGATTCCTGGTTCGCCTAGTCGGGGTGGTGTAGGTGGGGGGGATGAGATAAAGGTGGAGCTGATTTCTCAGAGAGAGGCGTCAGCAGGAGGAAGAGGAGGGAGTGGAGGAAGAGAAGGGAGTGGAGGTGTAGGAAGTAGAGGAGGGAGTGGAGGAAGAGGAGGGAGTGGAGGAGGAGTAGGAGGAAGAGGGAGTGTAGCGGGGACGAATCTATCCAGAGAAGGATCTTTCGCCACGGGGGGAGATATCCCTGGAGGTGAGGGTCAGAGAGGGTCTGGTGTTGTGACAGTGATGGCTGCAGGAGCTGTGGACGGGGTGGTGGTGGTAGGGGACGGGGTGGAGGGGGACCACGCCCCTCCAGGCTCCCGAGGCGGCGTGCCCGTGTCCGTGGATTCGACTCCCGGCCCTGTGGCTCCGGCCCTCGACGTGCTGGGTCTGATGGGCGGGTCGGTTGTGAACCCCAGCCCTGGGGCGAGGTCAGCGGACCAAAGCGCTGCCACTACACCAGCTGTCTGCTCCCGGCCAGGCTCTGTCGCGGCTACAAGAGGAGGAGGAGGAGCGGCTGTGACGTCAGAGGGGGCGGCTGTGACGTCAGAGGGGGCGGCTGTGCCTGGTGACGGCGTGACGTCAGAGGGAGTGGTGGGACCAGTGAAGGAGGAGGGGACGGACGGCGTTATGTCGCTGGCTCTGGACGGGATCGACGTGGACCTGTCCACGCCGCGCTCCCCTGTAGAGGTGTCTGTCTCTCTGTCTCTCTTTGTGTGTGTGTGTGTGTGTGTGTGTTTGTTTTGCCGGGGAGACACGATATCACGGCCGTATTTCTGCATGCTGCTCACTTGTTTATGACACACTTGTTATGACACATTTGTTATGTACACACTTGTTATGACACATTTGTTACATACACTCACTTGTTTATGACACACTTGTTATGTACACACTTGGTATGTATAGACGTATTTGTGACACGTTTGTTTATGACACACTTGTTACGTACAGACTTATTTATGACACACTTGTTATGTACACATGTGTTATGACACACTTGTTATGACACACTTGTTATGTACACATGTTTTATGACACACTTGTTATGACACACTTGTTATCACACTTGTTATGACACCCTTGTTATCACACTTGTTATGACACCCTTATTATGACACGTTTACGTACACATGTATCAAAACATATTGGTTATGACACACTTGTTATGACACACTTGTGACACATTTGTTACAGACACACGGGTTTGACTCAACACGTTGATCCAGATAACTGAACAATAATTTGGGCTGTTTCTTTTAATGCAAACTTAATATGAACAGATTTTTTATTTATTTTTCAAAATCAGTATAGAACATTCTCCCC